TTTGACATGAAGACCATCACCACGCGGATGATATGCGCAGGCTATGAGCCTGGCACGGTGGACTCGTGCATGGTAATGTGCTTTCTGGTTACCCATGAAGCGCAGCTCAGCGGGTCCTTGTCAACTTATTATTATTCGTGGATGGCCCTTCAGGAATACTTGGAAAGTTGTCTGTAAATGTTTAGCTATTTGCAGTGTGTCTCCCTTCAGCCAGCACCTCAGCAATCCCTCCTACTATCCATTTGCACTTCACTCAGATTGCCTTTGGCCTTCCATCTTCCCAGTGGGAAGCAGCACCCTTCATCAGCAACAGGAGGAAAGACAATTTTCAAGTCCATCCTGTCTGACCATGTTGGTGGCTAGAATAAACAGAGAAGCAAGTGGCATCCATGGCTCCACCCTGGCTGCCTCGGGGAACAGGGGAGCTGGCAGAGGATACCTCCAGCCTCTAGGGAGCTGACATTAAGGCAGACACCAGTGCTTCTGTCCCTGGAGTGTACCTCCGAATGATGAAGCTGGTATTTTCTGGGCCTTGCAGCCCTAAGGTTATTTCTCAAATGTCCCTACCTGACCTTTCTAGACTCTTGAGGCTGCTGGCCATCCACAGCAGTCTGTAGAGCATGCCAGTGTAGCGCTACAGGCACACAGTTAAGAAATTCTTATTCGTATGTTCATGGACTGTTGTACTTGGCTGGCACACAAGGAAACTTGGAAATGTGCAAGTGCTCGAAGAAGTCCTGTAGAGGAGGGAGGCGGCCGCTACGCTGCTACAGAGCTCCTTCGTGCTTTTGCTGATTTGGAATCCAACAGTTTGCTCTGCGCATTTCTGTATCAAAGAAGAGATGCAACAATGTTATTGCCACTAATCCAACACAAGTAAATGACATCTCTGATGATCCAGCTTAGGACAGGAAGTCAGAGGATTTCTAGTGGTGATCTCTAGATAGTTGTCATAGATGCAGGGAAGCAGATGATTCCCTGGTGAATTCCCTGAGGCCACCTTCCTTTCTGCCATGTGGCCACAACTCATCCACCTCAGACCACAGTGGCCACAAAGTTCCTTCCTTCTGGACAAAAGATCAGGTTTGATTTCCAAAGCCAAAGAATAAGTTCTATGTTTTGAAGCCTGGATATATTTCTCCTTTTCTCCAGCATAATTTGTAACAACTACAACAACCAGCACCTCTGGCGCATGTTTGAGTTGATCTCTTGATAACTCCTAAAGAAGGCTCAAAACCAGACAAGTTTATGTCATGGTGTATGATCCCTCCTCCCTGATCCTTACCCACATCTCCCTCCTTTTTCCCTCCCTTCTTGCTAAAGGTCTCCCTGTGTCCAATTATCTTTTATTTTTCCTCCTTATTTATACTTTGAGATTCTCCCTTTAAACCATAATGCTAAGTAAAACACATCAGACATGCATTATGTTTTTATTTCCTCTTCCCCTCCCAGCTCCCGTCTTCCTCCAATTCTAGATCCCTTCTATATTTGCCAAAGATCAAGCTCCCTTTTCCTCTTGTCTTTTATTTCGCTGTTTAATTTATTTATACTTGGCTTTTACATATAAGAGAAATCTTACGATATTGAAGCTTGTGTGTCTGATTTGCTTCTCTTAGCACTATGGTCTCAAGGGGCATCCAGTTTCCACAGAGTGGTGCAGTCTTGGGAGGAGGAAGAGGGGAAGCGAAACACAGACCGCACCAGACCATCTTTAGCTGTGCCCTTTCAGTTTGAATCAATCATTCATTTAAAATGTTTTTATGAGACCATGCTTGTAGGCCATGACTGTGTTTATTGCGTGCAGTTGGTACCTGCATAGCACACCTCAGTTCTTTTTGTCCCCTCACCTCTCATCAAGGAATAGATAATGTGAAGTAGGAGGCCTTTTCCGAATGGGAGGGGGACAAGGGGTGGAGGAAGGCTGGAGGGGGCAAGGAGGGGAGAGGGTTAAAATAGAGGAGAGATGAGTGGAAATAGAGCTTTTCAAATGGGAAGAAGAACTAACGTTGGATTGTTGGCTGCTGACCTTGTTCTCTCATCTAAAACACCAGTGTGACTTTCATTCACAATCCACACGTAAGGAAGGCACTGGGGCCCCTCCCACCTGGGAGGAATCACATATTGCCCTGAAATCTTCTTTGTACTTCTTAGATTTTGGTTTCCTGTGAAGTCATGCTTGTTACTCAAGCAGACTTTTGGCTGCTCTAAGACAAAAATCGTGCCTTCCTCCTCTAAGGAAAGCCTAGTACAGAATTTTGCACAGAGTAGATGCTGAGTAATTCTAATTTCGAATCTGGACAAGAAGACAGGCCATCATCTGGAGTGCATCTCATGTTAATCATACTCTCCTGAAAAATTGCCCAAACTAAATGATTGAGCACCCTCACTATATGGGGGGGAGAGGAAAAACATTTTTATGAAATGTATTAAATTAAAAAATTTTCTAGGAAAATTTATGTATTGCAAACATATACAATAAAAATTTTTAAGGAAATAAAAGGAAGAGGGAAAGCCCTCCACAGTAATACTGTGCACACTAGCAGAAAATTATCCCCACAGGGAGACCTGCATCCAAATGGGATATGTATTCCTGGAATGGCAGCAGTTTTTTCTCTTCTTCCATATTTAGTCTTTAAAAATGTATTAAGAAGCAGGTCCCTGTTGTGGTTTTTCCTGATTTTCTGTGCTTCTGGACTCCTCCTCTACCAGGCTTCCTGGCCAGTAGTTGGATTTTGAAAAAGTGGGTTTCACTATGTTGTCATGGAGACAGGAGCATCAGAAATGATAAGCTTCTGGCAGTCACAGGTTGCACAGAGCAGTGACACTCTGGAAAGTCACTGAGCTGATGGACAGTACTTGCTGCTACCAGTGAATAAGAAGGCCCCTTCGCAGTCCACACAGAGGCTCCCCTCATATGCATGATTTTTGTTACCCATGGTCACCGAGGGCCTAAAATATGAAATAAAAAATTCCAGAAATAAACAATTGGAAAATATAAATGAATGAAGAAGGAAGAAGGAAGGAAGGAAGGAAGGAAGGAAGAAAGGAAGGAAGGAAGGAAGGAAGGAAGGAAGGAAGGGAATTTAAGCCTTCCAGCAGAAAATGTTGTTTTTCAGCCCCTTATTTATTCAGTATCAGGGCATTGGAAAGCTACGCAGGTGGCAGTCGGCACCCTACAGAGGCATGCAGTGTAATCAAGAGCTCCCCTTTGCTTCACAGCAATGATATGCACTAACATTCCCAAGAAGCAGGATACCCCAGGAGTCATGGAGAAGGTAACCTGTCAGAAAGTCTGAGTTCAAATCTGAGCTCTGCCAATAAGTTCATTAACTTGGGGCCAGTTACATTATCTCTAAAATGAACATAACAACAACAACAACAACAACAACAACAACAATTGCTTTTGTAGATATCTTATGAAGATTAAATGAATTAATACATGGAAAGTATCAGTAAATGATATTACTTTCCAACCTTACAAGGTAGGAAAACCATAGATACTACAGGAGGGGAAAGAGTAGGGGGATAAGGGGTGAAAAACAAAAAGACATAAAAGAATCAAGATATATTTTATACTTGCACCAACTCCTCACAATAATTATAATCATGATGTACTGCAAAAATATTCTAATAAAAATAATAAAAAGATAAATAAAACCTAAAGAATGAAATTGATTATGAGGTAATCAGTTCTAATACATAAAGTTTTATGACATATTTTGTAAGAAGGAAATGACTAAAAATGTCTCTTTCCTACAAATAAAGTCTCCTCCCAAGCCACCCTCATTTCAAAGACCAGGATTTATAATGTTTCTTTGAAAGTGTCATTTATACAAAAGGAAGTACATTTTCTCCACAGCCTGACAATAAAAGTATTGTTAAACATTTCCAAGAAATTGGTTAATCTGATTTGGCTTTGTTGCACCCTGGGGACCACACGGTGTCACCAGAGCTCAGCAATCCCGGTGACTGATGTCTGTTGCTATTCATCACAGGGCGACAGCGGTGGACCTCTTGTCTGTGAGCAGCCTGGAGGACAGTGGACGTTGTTTGGCTTAACTTCGTGGGGCTCCATCTGCTTCTCCAAAGTTCTGGGTCCTGGAGTGTACAGCAATGTGTCATACTTCGTTGGGTGGATTGAGAAGCAGATATACATCCAGACCTTTCGCCTAAGTCAGCGCAAGGGTGATCAGAGGGCCCTGCCAGCAGCACGCGGAGAGAAGGGCCGCGCCTGAGAAGCGCTCCCTGTGGAGGCTGGACAGAGCCACTTCGTGGGGACAAGGAGCTCCACATGCATTGCAAATTTTAATATTTGCTTCAGACCAATTTTATTTGACTTTTCCCCCAATTTTTCTCTAAAATTTTGTGAAAAACTTTTAAGAAAAGCAGAGCAGGCTGTTTTCTTTTGTCGGGTCTAACCTTGATTATATCACGAAAGTAGATAACAACTCTGTAGAGATTTAAAATATGCAGGCCTGAGGTTTAACAGGTTACAAAAGTTTGGTTCTATCAGTGACAGGACACAAGTCCAGGCTGATGAAATCCCAGTTTCTGCCCCTCAAGCACAGTAATTTAGATAAAAATGTCACTATTAATGATGGTGACTGGCTCTTGATTTACTGGAAGCCAAAATAATTTGTTTTTACTTACTCTTCCAAAGTGTATGCAATTCAGAGAATTTATGAAAGATAGCAGTTAAAAAAAAGCAGCCATTTAGGCAGCTCAAAGCACAGCGTACAGGCAGAGTTCTCCAGTAACCCCTGGAATAACAGTTCTGTCCTTTCTGGATTTGAATCAAGTTTGTAACTTTCCAGGAAGGTCTCTACAGTGCTTTGCCCATTTTGGGAGCTTTCCTGGTACACATCAGCTCTTTGGGGTTTTAACAATTAGATCAATACACATGGGGAAGGGCCAGCCAGATGGCTCAGTGGGCTAATGCACCTGCTTAGGCAGGCACAGGGACCAGGGTTTGATGCCCGGAGTGCCATGCCAGCCCAGTCCCCAGGGCGTGCTGAGATAGCGACTGGGCCTGGGTGTGGTGGCGCGCACCTGTAATCCCAGCTTTTGGGAGGCTGAAAACAGGAGGATCACTATGAGTCTGATTTGTATAGTGAGACCCTTCAGAACTCTGTACTGAATACATTTTATAAAAAGTTTAAAAAATATGCATAGGAAATATTTTGTTCTGCCTATGTTAAAAGGAAATGGAAATTAAGGTTTGTCAAAGGAGAACCTGCTCTAGATGGGAGAAATTCAGTGTTTTAAAACAGAAAATTACAATGTACCCCACCCAAAATTAAATATGAAATTTTTCTTTTCCTGTGTTCACTCATAACAATAAAGTCATAGAAATATATTTCAAAGCACAATGAGACATTTCACAGAGTAAAACACTTTATAATTTTCCCCTATGTCTAGCATCTGGTGTTGCCTTTTCTTCTCATTGATAATTAAAAACAAAATTTGAAAGTTGCTTTTAAGTATCAGGCTACTTTACATAAATCAATTTCTGAAGCAATTAGTGGTTAAAAGTCCTTTTCTCTACTAAAAACTTCCAAGGCACAAATCTGCACAGATACCTAATTTAATTAGCTAGATGTCCATTCTGCAACATGCCCTTTGAGCCATAGAATTCGCTACTAACCTCCACCAGCAACCTGGACTGCCTCAGCTTACCAAATATAGACTACCTGCAATTTTATACATGTATTTTTGTATACTTCTTTTGTATACATTTTTTCTATGTGTAAACATATTTTAAATTCAAAAAGTTGTTTTGACACTTATTTTCTGTGTTACTCATCTTCTGTCTTGTAGTTTTGCTTTTTTTTAAAGCCTAAAGAGAATGTGAAAGCCCACCGCTGAACTGTGGCCACATGTACGAGAGTTGAACACATCAGCTTTGTTGGAGTTGTAGGCACCTGCTTAATGTAACTACTTCTAGCTTTGATCAACTTGGGTTCAGTGAAATGTACATACTGTACTTATTTTAAATAATTCTGATACAAATAAAGTGCTATCTTTTTCTATGAAATGGAACCTAGCTAGCAAGGCCCAGGAAACTGTTCATTCCTCTGTCGTAGCACGCGGATGGTTTCCTACCAACCACTTGTCCCACATCTTTACTTGCACAGGAACCTGTTATTTTACACAACCAGTAGCTCTTTTGTTAACCTGAAGTTAAAAGTTGTTAACAGTTCAAATTACTCACTGTCCAATTAAAACTTTCACCCTGGTAAGAGAAAATGAATCTTTAATATTTAGAGTACATTTTGAGAACCTGATTCAATTCTTTCTATACAGGTCTTCAAGATGTAATAAAATTATGTCCCCAAATGTATATTATTAATCTTTTACATTGCTTCATCACCAAAAATTTGGAGAAATATCCCATAGAACATATTGGTTTGGGGAACTTTGTGTAAATGAATTATTTTTTATGTGACCCTTTAAAAGCTTAATACTAATCCAAAACCTCTTCATCCTAGAAGGCAGATATATTTCAGAATTCAGAGTTTTCTGAATTAAAAAAATACAGTTTAATACTTAGTAATAAAGTACATTAACATTGCTGTTTCAAAATATAAGAATAACTACATGGAGTACATATATAGACTCAATTGTTCAGGACATCGAGTTTGTACATAATGTGTGAAAAATCTTGCAGTTTTCAGAGCTTTGAGGATTTTATAAGAGTGTAGGCCCATCACATGACCTCCCAATGTTTTCCTTTATTCACATATAGAGATAATTCATGTCTTAAAAATTGACCGTTTGCTTTTTCATTTTGGCTTATTCTTTTAATCTCTAGACTATAATCCTCTATTTACAAGTGACTACACCTCTCAATTTTTATTTATCAGGACATGATGATCTCAGAGAATAAATGCCAGACACATGAGGGTCACAGATGACACATCAATGATGTGCTTCCATTAGAAAGGGCCAGGACTACATTCTACAGGCATTGTGCTTCAGTCCTTTTTCTTCTAAGTTCTGGAACCCATTACCGAAGGCTGCAGCCCATGTTTACAGCAATAATGACCATGCTTTGGCGCACTTTATTATTAAATAGTTTATTTACAAAATTCTTAAGGAAGCAGAAGACACTTCCATTAGCCATGTGGGGTTTTAAAAGTTCTACAACTTATTCAATATAAAAAATGATTTACAGTAATAACAGAAGACTATAAAAAACACTATTGGGCCAGGAAAGTACGCAGCATGTTTGAAATTAAACCCTGAGAATGACTGCTGAATGGTAATAAGATTCTGAGGTGGGGCACTGGGCATGGGAATGGTGTTTCAAGAAAAGGATTCTCTCTCTGGTGGCTAGTGACAATAGTCTGATAGAATTTTAAAATAACTTCAACAGGAGTATTTGATTATATTATAACACATGTCTTTTCCTGTATAAAACGGTTTCTTGGCCCCCACTAAAGTAGGTATATAAGATTTGTAACAGCTGGAAACTTGTTATCGATATTCTGGTAAGTGACTGAAAACAAGCTTTTCTAAGAACACCAGGGAAAGCCCTCTGGGAAAAATCTGTATTAATATTAATTCATATTGCACTTTTTCAAGGGCTACACCACCAGAAGTTATTACATATTGCAAAGACTAGAAACCCTTCACTGTTTTGAAGATTGTTTGGAAATTGACTCACTTCGAGGCTTTTTAGAATATGGGAAATTGCCTCATGAATTGGCTATAGGCTCCATTTCTGTCTCCCAACAGACCACATCTGCAGGGAGGGAGACCACATGAGAGCTCCTCTCTGCAGTGGAAGATGACAGAGGAACGACTTCTGTCCCTGGTGACCAGTGGTGCCCCTCGTCCGCTTTCCTTACAAGGCTCTACTTTAGGAAAACACTGAAATGAGCAACTAGCACTGCCTACAGTCTTTCCTCAGAAGACCAAAGGTATCCTTCCAGAGGAAACAGAAAGCTACTGATAGTCACTAACTGCATTTTGAAGAGGTAGTATTACCATATTACCTTATTACCATATTTTACCATTACTGTTAAAAAGGGGCTTTGGAACTTCTCTATAAATGTTTCATTTATAATACATATTCATATAGAATTTTTCTTTGAGCCCTTAGTTTTCAATCCAATTTATTCTTAATTAAAACTTTCATTATTTGTTTCTGAGACAACATTTTCTTATGTAGCCCAGGCTGGCCTCAAACTCATGATTTTCCTGGTCAGCCTCCACAGCCCTGAGATTATAGGTGTGTACCATCACACCCAGTAACAGTATGCATTATAGTAACTAAATTGTTGTTTCCTTCATCTTGTTTTGAAATTGTCTATCATGTTTTTGTATTTCTTTTAAAAAAAAAAGAACAACTCAACATGAAGTTTTCTTTCTTAAAGCATTTCCCACAAATATGAGAGTGTCCAGTATAAGAAATACTTCTCAAACTAATCTGTGTGGTAATGTTTGCAAGTTTAAGTAAATTAAAATGCTTTTAGAACTGGGCATAGTGGTGCACACTTGTAACCGCAGCACTTAGGAGGTCAAGACAGGAGGGTCCTTGTGAGTTTGAGACCAGCCTGGGGGCTGCAAAAGTGAGCACAAGGCCAGCCTGAACTGCATAGCAAGATCCAGATAAAAACAAACAAACAAACAAACAAACAAAAAACACCTTTTAGCAAGTCCAACAGTATTTCACAATTTGATTCTTACTTAAATATTTGACTTTCTTCACTGTTTGGGACAAATCACATTCTTCTTTTACAACTGTAGATACATATCGTAATGGTCATTATGTCAGCTTCACCAGCCTTGTGAGATGCTTGTGCTACCCATTACGGAAACCTTTCAGTCACCCGTGCTTGATAGAGGTCACTCTTCCAAGTCCTTTCAAACTTGAAAGAACAGTTGTGTCTCGAGAGGGGAAACCTGCCCTCTTCCCATTTTAGAGTCTTGTCACATCTGGAGCCTCAGCTGCTGGGTGGCAGCCTGGAAAAGCAGTTTCACACAGAGGCAAGTGTCCTTGCTCAGCAGCACAGGATGTCGCTGACTTCATTGCAAGAGCAGAAGGATGGCCAGACCTTGGCCTCCTTCCCGACTTCCTGGTGGACTGGTCTGCACGCTGGGGTGTCACGTGGTTCTTCTTTCCAGCCCCTCTCCACTTCTTAAGAGCCTCAGCCCTTTCCTCTGGTGTTAGGTGGTCCAGGTGCTTAGCTCTCAGGATTGGAGGTGGAAACAGGGATCCCTGGAGAATTCGGTATGTAAACCTAGGGGACAAAGAACATCACAGAATTAAATTGGGCCCCAGTGCACAATGGGATCCACAAAAACACCCATTAAGAAAAGTGAAAGCATGGAGTGGCCACTTGGCTCCTGCAGTCAAGTAGTAGGGTGAGTGAACTATAAAATATAGATAAAACAATATCCAAAATTAGGATTTGTAAAGCACTTGAAAATAGTAAGTGCCTTATAAGTTCTAGGTAAACAAAAGTAAAGTCGGTGAAAAGAGAGCTATAAACAGTTGACATATTATAGGCTTACTGTTTGATTAAGTGAGATAATACATGTAAACCAGGCAGAATGTTGAAACTTAACAGACTCAGAGTGTTAGCCCTAGTTCCTGTGGCTACTCAACAACTTTCCACAAAACTGTTTCTTGTAGAACAAGCTGGCAGTTTTTCTACCATATAACATTCTCGAAAAATGCCTGAGTCCCCTGTGAATGTCATCAGCTTTACATGGTTAGTAATGAGGGACCGCGGAGATCTTCCCCATGTGCTGCTGAGGCAGTGAAAGGAGCCCAGATGTCACACACCTAACCTCCTGAGCACTCTGCAGAAGCCCTGCCCACCTGCCTCGAGGCTGTCTCCCCAGAACCCGGCCTTATCAACGTAAATGCAGCGACTTCTCCGATTTGGACAGGCTGAGAATTACACATGGTGAATTTTGGTTAGCCTAAGAAATCTCTCAATCACTTTCCTCTCACGTGTTATTTTAAGCAATGAGAATGCACCAGGCTACCTTGCTTAGAAACCACCTCAGCCAGACATCTAAGCTCATTTGCTTACAAATTCTGCTTAGGTGTCTCTGAGGAAGCAGCTCAGCTAAGCTTTCAAAGATGCTCTTTCCCTATATTTCAAAGATACTCTTTCCCGAAATTTCCAAGCCACATTCATTTTTTTTTTCTGAGTTTTCACCCATAGTGACTCTATCAGTCATATTTCTAGCTACGTTTTACAGCATACACGTTCTGTAAGACGAAATAGGCTTTCTGTACTACGCTCTTCGCCTTGCTATGTATAAGGTCTAGATCTCGGATTTTCCTACTGTGCATCTCAAAATCCTTCTAGGTCCTGTCCGTCTCTAAAAGTCATTTCTATATTTGAGTTGTCTTCTCTAGCAGGGCTCAGATTCTCTACCATTTTTCTACGGCTTCTGAAACAAATTATCACAATCTTGGAAAGCTTAAAACAACAAAAGTGTATTCTTTCACAGTTGTAGAAGCCAAGAATTCTGAAGTCAGTTTCACAGGGATAAAATGAAAGTGTTAGAAAGGTCACTTTCTCTCTGTCTGGAAGCCCAAGAAAATAATTTAGTTTTTGCTTCTTCCAGCTTAGTGTTATTTATTTATTTATTTATTTATTTATTTATTTATTTTTCCTGTGCCAAATCCCCCTCTGCCTCTCCCTCAGAGACACTTGTGATTGTATTCAGGAACCAGTTGGATAATTGAGGGCAATGTCCACGCCTCCAGGTCTTTAATTTAATCACATCTGTAAAAATCCCCCTTTTTGCCATAGAAGATAGAATTCATTTTCTTGGGGGGTCACTTATCAGCTTACCTCAACCATATTGGATAGAAATATACTGTGGATGGTCCAACATTTTCAAGAATATAATCTTCAAGTAACTGTTTCTTTTGAAATTCTACAAATTCCTCTCGTCAAGGCCATGAGCACCACAAGGCAGCTCTAGTTTAATAGTGGCACTGCTCAGTACACAACCACGGCCACTGTAAGGTCAATCAGATGGATTTTCTTACCCATTTCTAGCAAAGGCACACAGTAGCATCAGAGGCCTTGTGCTCACTGTGCTTTCTGATGCTGCTACAGACTGGGGTTGGCAAACTCTTTCTGTGAAGGGCAAGATCGTAATAATTTAGGCCTGGGAAGCCAGACAGTCCCTGCTGGAACTGTTCAGCTGCACTACTCTAACGCAGCAGTGGCCAAGGGTGATACGTAAAATAAATGAGCACGGCTATGCTTAATGAAACTTCATTTACAAATACAAGTAGCAGACCAGATTTGACCTGTGAACTAGTTTGTCAGTCCTATTAGATAATACGATGAACTCCCCATCTGGATTCTTAAATCATACTCTGAAAAGGTTGAGAAACTACTTTAGTGTTTTCTGCTAAATGCATTCTACAGAGAAGAAAAAGAGCCTATGTATTAAAAAGTCAAACATTCTTCTTAGTCATTCCGAATCCATGGATTAGGAACCGGATTAAATTTAAGAGGGAAGACTAATTGTGTGAGCCAAGAAGGGAGGCTGTATGGGGCTGAGCATTTCCAGACAACAGGACATATGGCTTCTGGGAGCTCGGCACCTAGTCTCCTATTCTTCCTTTTAGAAGCCTCCAGATTTTAGTCACCCCATGTGTACACAGCTGGGCTCTGGTCCATGCCATCTCACAAAGAAAAACAGATGATCTGTTCTTTATTTTTTCTCTTCTCCCTTCTTGGGGGCAGGGGTTGGTAAGGATGCACGTGTGCTAATGAGGAACCATCATCAATAATGCAGATGAATTCTTTTATGGTTTAGATGTTTGTTTCAGGGCCGGCGGTATAGCTCAGTGGACTGAGCTCTTGCTTAGGTAAGGGCAGGGACCAGGGTTCAATCCCTAGCTCTGCATGCTGCACCAGCCCTGCTCCTGGGCCTACTGAGCCAGCGATAGAGTCTGGGCATTGGGGCACGCACCTGTAATCCCAGCACTAGGGAGGTAGAAATCAGGAGGATCACTATGAGTCTGGGCTGTGTAGTGAGACCCTGGACCCCACCGCAAAAAAACAAAACAAAACAAAACAAAAAACCCAGAAAAAACAAAAACTAAAAAAACATGTTTGTTTCCTCCAAAACTCATCTTGAAATTTAATTGCCATTATAACAGTACCAAGTGGTGGGAGCTGTACATGATTAGGCCACAAAGGTGCTGCCCTTCTACTTTCCATCATGAATACATAAATTCGAGAGGGCTTCTTGGACTGAGAATCACTAAACCTTGATCTTGGACTTTCCAGCCCCCAGAACCATAAGCCAGTACCTTTGTGCATATAAGTTACCCAGTCTGTGGCTTTCCGTTGTACCATAACAAACAGACCAAGAGAAGAATTTGGGAGATGGCCCAGCAAAAAGCAGGGGAAGGCATCCAGTTCTGGATGATTTTATGAAACAAAGATTCCCTACCTCTGTGAGCTGTCAGAAGATTAGACTTTTTATAAGAGAGATACCAACTTTTTAGTTTGTTATGTCCTTTTTCCCTGCTTGCTGGTAAAATAGTTAAAACCAATATTTTACCTAGTAAAAAATCCAGCTGGTGCACTAGTAAATAGTAGTCTGGCATCTATCTTAGTGTTGCTTCAAGGACTCTATAACTAAGATTCCATGTGCTGTTTTTTTTTTTTAAATTCTAAGGTCAATTTTTATTTCTACAAAAAAGGCAATCAAAACAATGTTTTGAGGACTAAATAAATACCTTACCTGGGCAGAAGGGCAATGCAGATTGTGAGCACACACACTAAGTAGAACACTGGATCCAGCATGTGGTCTTGCATAATCCAGTAGGGGTTGGATGGTGGATTGCACGTCACACACATGGCTCCAAAGGCCAAGGCGAAGAAAAAATAAGACAAGATGCTGCCAATGATCACCAGCCCATGGATCCACGTCTGCAAGACAAGAAGAGCAGGGAAACGAGCTCTCAGCGCTGGGGTGCTGCAGCCGACAAAACCTGCTCCAGTACATCCAGACAGATAGTGAACTGAGTAACTAACCTCAAGAAGCAAAACACAGAAGAGATAAGAGAACATGTCATTCACAAATAGCTTATGTTACTGTTTGAACACTGTGAAATTAAATCAAAGGCAAAAAAGTAAACCTGAGGACAACTTATTCTGTATTGTCCATGAGCCAGGAGGTTGGAAAGATTTCCTTTATAATTTTATTTATATAGCCACTCATTAGTCTATTTCTTCATTAAGGTAATAAATACTTCAACCCAGTGATCTTCAAAAATATAACCATTCACACACATGTTAAGTTAGATTTCAGGGTTGTTCACCAATAATCTCATTCCTCACCCCTATGGCTTGTACCTCACTTCTCTTCTGGAATTAAGCATGGCTCGGTGGTAGGCTCTGACCAATAAAACAAGAGTAGGAAGGGATGCAGGTTTCCCTGCTATCTCCTTTCCTTCCCCGCTATCAAGAAGCCGCCCTGGGAGAAATTCCAGGAAGTATGGCCATAAGACACAGCCGGGTCACTGAGATACCCTTCAGAGGATAATTGCTTCTGGAGCTATCTGGAACATCAGTCAACTTTACATGAACAAGAAATTGTTATGTATGATACTACATCTAGTCACGTCCATATCCATGTGTAGTTTGCAACATTATTTTTCTTAAAACCAGCTCACTAATTTAAGTAGCGTAATTTAAAACAAAACAGATCATTACTTTAAATGTAACATTATCTGTCATGATAATGCTTAGTTTGGGGATTGATCTGTTATTGTTATAAAGGGAAATAAGTAAAAGTTGTAATACAACATAACATCAAACAAACTTCCTCTTTTACGTAATCAAAGCATGAAAAGACAATCAGCTTCAAGTCATGTAGTATCCACTGCTCATGGAGCACACGGTAATACCTAAAATCTCAGCATATACTACTGGTGGCATATGTCACAACTTTTAGGGAAATGCTGCCTTTTTTAATAATTTTTATTTTGGATGCTACAATTTTCAAACAAGATCCAGTTTTCTCCCTTTTCACCCTAATCTTGAAGTGTACTTCCCCCCAGTAGAGGTCTTCATAAGAATCACAAAGACTGATCATTTGTAAAATGATACAAACTTCTGCAAATGTTGGCTGGATCCTGAAGACTATCCTTCCTCTAGAACAATGAGCTATTTCTTTTCTTCTCCAGTGTCTTTCCTTCTCTCTGAGTCCCTTGGCTCCAACACGCTTGTCTCAAAATATGCTATTGTCAAGACAGCTAGTGACTTCATAGTTTATATACAGATTTAACTGAATTGACATTTAAAAAAAGTTAATGTCTAGGAGCAGTGGGTAAAAGGAGACTGGGAGGGCCAGCTACATAGCTCAGTAGATTAAAGCATCTGCTTAGGCAGACACAGGGACCTGGTTCAATTCCAGCGTGCCCTGCCATCCTGGCCCCACCCCCAGGGTATGCTGAGACAGCACTTGCCTATAAGCCCAGAGCCTGGGAGGCTGAAAACAGGAGGATCACTACAAATCCAATCTGTGTAGTGAAACCCTGTAGACCCTGTACTAAATACATTTTAAAGAAAGAAACAAGGAAGGAAGGAAGGAAGGAAGGAAGGAAGGAAGGAAGGAAAGAAAGAAAGAAAGAAAGAAAGAAAGAAAGAAAGAAAGAAAGAAAGAAAGAAAGAAAGAAAGAAAGAGAAAAAAGGAGTCTAGGAAAGGGAGTGGCCATGAGGCATTGAGTAGATACCAGTAGGGACCATGGTTCACATCTCAGAAAGGCTGACTCCCGCAGATGAGAGAGCACCAGAGGCCAGAAGCTCATAGGGCTACAGGGTTTCATCAGCAGGGACCACATGTGGGGCATGCACAGACTGAGGAGGACCAGAGCCAGTCAGGCTGGAGTGGCATCCTGACCAGCTACCTTTTGTGTCTGTTCTCTGGCTCTCCAGAGACATCTGGGCTCTTTAGGAAATTTTTGTTTTGATTTGTTTCATTTAATAATGTTTCTGTTTGCTCAGGTTAATCAGAATAAATTATTTTTATTTATAATGTATGAATCCTAACTGACATACTATGTGTTTTAGTTCCTCTGGAACATTAATGTCAGAGCCTATGGCAGGCACATCTTTAGGTGTTAACTAAAAATACCTCTGCAATTGCTTAAAAATTAAATAGCTATTGAAATAAGGCCAAATATTTCAGTTCTAGAATTCCATTCAGTACCCAATCTAATATTTGAGTATTTTAATTTTAGATTTGTATCGATAATTAAGTATAAGCAAAACAAATGATACCAAAAATATTCTACCCAGTTTAGAAATTGTTAAAGATAACTTGATAATATATTTCATATATTTTATATCCTAACCTCATCTATTTTCTGTTTGAAATCTTTATTACCATCAGAGTAAATCTCCACCAAACACTTAATTATTTCTTTTTCTACTCAAAAATGTTCTGAATGCCCACTGCGTGCCAGGCTTGTCTTCAACACTGGTATACAGTGGTGAATAATGTAGGCATGAACCCTGCGCTCTCAGCAATTACACTATAATGCAGAAGACAAACATGAATCAGATAATCACACAAGTACATGACTACTTAGATATTATTGTTAGACCTATGGCTAAGAATATGAACGAACAGGCCATCAGGGTAGGGATCCAGGGAAATAACATTTTTCTTACTGAAATTTAAAGTAACCTAAAATAACATTTGAAGTGGGTGAAGTTCAATGACTACAAGGGGAAATTAAGAATATTTTCTTAGTTTATATACCAAAGCCTAAATGTGAGAGTAAATTCAATTTATCTGAGCAGTTTCAAAGAGGAATAATGTGATTCCGGCTCCTGAGTAAGTGGAAATGAGGCTGGAGACAGAAGTGAGGGCTTTACTGTATGAGATCTATGATGGGTCATGTCTAGATGACCCCCAAAGCCTCATACGGTCACATGACCTTGTGTCTAGATGTCCCCTGAAGCCCCATGAGGTCACAGGACTTTTTCAGAAATAACTGAATCTTGAGCATGCGATGAATTTGTAATGCCATGCTGGGATTCAGGGTGCTGGTTTTGAGGGTGCATGAGTGCTGCATCAGTCTGCTGATTGGATTGGCAATGTCCTAATGCTGGTAAACTAGATATGATCTGAGGGGCAGAAAGGTTTGGCTTTCTCTTTCTCTTGCTGCATTTGCTGTCTTCCATCACCATGAACAGCTGCCCCTCTGCCACATGTCACCCCACCTTGGAGCCAGCCGATTATGAACTGAAATCCCTACAAACTATAAACTACATTTTTTCCTCATTTTACTTTGGGTGTCAGGAATTTCATCTCAGCAATGAGAGAAAAGAACCTAAGACAAGGCCCTATAGTCTGTCTTAGAGTTTCAAAGCTTATTCCAAATACAAAGGGAAACTACTGAGCGGTTCTGCCCACGGGGCCACAGCAACAACAAAGGAAAGCCGAACAACCATGACTTATTAAAGTCAGTGTGTCTAGATTGTGGCATAGAAGGGCCTTTTAATTTTAGTTGAAAGGCATCAGCTTGGTCTTGAAAAATGCTGGCCATAGAAAGATAATTACTTTCCCAGCTTGACTCATGCTTCCATGAACTGTCCACTGTGAACACTTTCCCCAGGAAAACCTCCACCTCAGCAGTGACCCTGAGTGATCCCCACGAACAGCATGAGTCAGCATTCCTGCACAGAGTAAGAACTTTCACAATGCTTATCTTGTGGGCACGGAGGGTTTGGCAGGGTCATGGCTACCAGGAGACAGTCCTCAAGTATACAGAGCTTCAAGCTAGCTCAAAGGCACGCAAACCACTCACCAAACTCTTGCTTTCAATGGTCAGATGGAGGAGGATGATGAAGAGAGCAGCTGTGTTCAGGGGGTTTCCAAACGTAAAGATGTCAATGTCTGAGCCTTGGTAGGTCTGCAAGGAGAGGACCAGAAGAGGTGAATGGAGAGGGTCGTGCACTCAGCAGTGTAACCACACGTCATCTCCTGCACAACTAAGGCTTGGGGTTCTTCTATGGTGTTCCTATTATGTGGTAATGTAGGGTAAAAAAATGTTTCCAGCAAAGAGATCCTGCTCTCACATAGGCAAGTCATCTGATACTTGAACTTGAATTTTCCAGTTGGAATTCCTCTTTATTATGAGGATTCCATCTTTCTGGAAGCTGTCATTCATACTTTAAGATGTAAGAAATATCAAATTTGTTCCATTTAATAAATCTGAGGTTATACCTCTCCTATGTAAGTAATCCCTACTCTCCCATCTATGCTTTCAAGTCCTTGAACCTTCCTTAAATGCTATGTTTCTAATCTTTTTGCATCATCTTCTGAATATACTTCAAGTGGTCTTGTCTCTATTCCTCTTGAAGTTCACCACAGACAGGATATGCCAGTGAGGCCAATTCAAGTGACTTAATTTGAATGAAAATTGTTTACTTGGACTGAAATTACTCTTTTTTTATTCATAGTACTGTACTTCTGCTAACCACCATCATAATCAAACAAGTTGTTTTCTTCTGGGAAGAGGTGTATGTGGACGGGCAGACATACTCTGCTGCTCTGTGCTTATTATTAGTCCAAAGTTTGAAAATTAATTTTTATAAATTCTTTATTGGTTGTATTGTCCTATTCTTTATCTGAAAAACAAGTTTTTGGCATAAGCCCTGTAGAGCAATAGTTTTGGCAACTACTGCGAGGAACTTACATTTAATATATGGATGTCATCTGGGTAGATTAGTTCAACACTCACTAGTAAAAGCTTTCATATTATGACTTCACCTTTCTGGTTTTTGACTAACGATATGGTCAGAGATTTAATTTTACCCAATTCACTGACCAAAATTATTAAGGAGCTCAGGGTTAACAAGCAACCTAAGAGAACTTCACTAGACATTAATTTAATCTATCATCTAACATATTTGGGGGGATGTTTATACTCTAGTCAATTAATAATCAATCTGTGTGAGAAGCCTACCCTCTGCAGGGTGACACTGGAGCCAAAGCATAAAGAAACACCAATAATTTATTAACAAATAAGTGTATGAGCAATGACTTACAAAGTAAGGCACGAAGAAACAGACCAGGCTTTGATAAAAGGCATCCAGCAAGGTGATCCAGAAGGTGAGGGGTAAGTATGCCTGGAAATCAAACACACAGGGGAAGGGAATCACATTGACAAGTGTCAAAGCAAAGTGAATAAACAACACCAAGCACAACATATTTCTGCTTTTCCGAAAGACATTCTCTGCTTTCCTTCTTTTACTCACAAAACAGGAGGAACTTATCAACAGTGGTGGAAGAATGAAGGCTGCTGAGTGAGATGGCTTCACAGCTCAATGTGGAAACAAATCCTTAAAGGAAATCTTAATTCAACTCATTTAAGATTTAACCTCGGGGGTGTGGCCCTAGCTCAGGCCTTTAAGTGGCTGCTTCTACAAAGCTCTCAGCCTCAGCTTGCTGAACCTCACAACTCTCCCACTGGCCAAAAGTGCACTGAAGCCATTCGAGGAAAAAAAAAAAAAAAAAAAAAAATTTAACCTCATCATTACATCGTTTTTTCTCTTCCTCCTCCCCTCTCCCCCCCCCCTTTTTGGTATTGGGGATTGAACCCAGGGTCTTACATATGCTAAGCACATGCTGGCACATGCTGTAGTGCTGGGAGTTACACCCTCAGCCTCTTTTGGACCTGTTTTAAACCTACCAGAAGTGAGCCTCGTAGTAACTTTTCACTTCCTATGATCAGAAAGCACTTTACTGAAACTTCCCTGCATGCCCCTGTGTTTTTCTTACACTGGTCCTTTCACGTCAGTTTACCATCAACTCTCTTATGAATGATGGGGGAGCCATCTCACTGCTTTCTTCGCGCTCTCTCTCTCCTACATGCAATCCAATCTCCTCATGCCAGTCAGAACTTATTAAAATGTACATCAGTGATGTCGTCTTCCTAATCATCAAATCGACTCTTTTCATCACTTTGAAGACTTCCCACCAAGTTTTCAATATAATCTATGTTCCTTTCTGTAGCCGAGGCTGTCACGTATGGTCTGTCTAGCAACTATCTCAGCAGGGTAACTTACCCAGCGACACAGATTTGCCTGCACATGCCAATCCATTCTTTCCTCAAGGATTCGCCTGTGCTCTTCTCCCATGATCACCCCTCCCTATCTAGTCCAGGTCCAACGCCCCTTCTCAGAGTGACACCGAGTCTGAAAGTTACTCCTATTCAATCACTTGCTATCATGGTATCCTTAACAGGCTCTCAACACCAATAGAAATGATTTTATATGTTGCCTGATGATTTTCCAAGTAACTGACTGCAAGTTTCAAATGAGACTTTGATTCTCCTATTTCAAATGATTAAGGAGTGCTTAGTACAAAGCTGGTGTTCAACAAATACTTATCAGGTTAGCAAGCTATTCTCCATCTTATGCACTAAACGGCTTCCTGCCCAAAGCTCATAAATAGAGAAAGACCAAGTGGATACACTGAAAGTCAAATGATCAAAATTGGATTCTTAAGCAAGATCCAGCTTTGACTGAATGGTGACGTGTGTGAAGAATTCTTAAGGCTGAATTTAGACCTGGAAGGAAAGAGTGCTATGGCTTGTCAGGTAGGATGCTGTAAAAAAAAAAGTGGAAGCACATGCATCATATTCTACAGCTAGTCTTGTCTGTTTGTAACATGTTCACCTTAGTCTTGTTTTCTTTCAAAAGCAAACAGACATTGTTTTTCTTGAAAATATCTTACTGGTTCCTAAGAACAAAGCGCAAATTTCCATATGTGTGTTTCCATTCTTTAGACGACTACACTTAGAATTTTTACATTTTTCCTCCTTTATCTCTTTGATCTTTAGGAAATCAAAGCAATGAAAATTCATTATTTCCAGCCTATTTTTCCCTGTAGTTTCTTTTATTCTGTATTTTCTAACTGGAAGTAATGATATAATATTGTCTCTTTCTTCATCCAAGTGTCCATAAAACCTAGGCACAGAATGGCCCAATAGTGGAAGAGAATGTGTCTGCGACAAAGACATAATTAAAGCATCCCTGGGCAAGAAAGAATGATTTGGAGAGAAGTTAAAATATAAGTTCATATGTCTAGGGCTATAGGAGTTGCTGAAAAACTATGCTGAAAAGGTAAAAAGTGCAATTTTCCCACATTCACTTGAATAAGAGGGCTTAGAGAAGGAACACAGGAGGCCAGTCTGGGACAGATAAATTCAAGATAAGAATAAACTCACAGGAATTTCTTGGAAACTGAAAGGAAAACGTGAACATGAAGTAAATGCCAGAAAAGAACACTGTGTGGGTGATGAGAGATAGATAATGGTTACTGTTCCTTGGAAGGAATCTTCTGCCCTCCAGATCTGTCTCCTTCAGGAGAGATTCTATACCCCGAGAGAATATATTCTATGGGCCAGAGACAGAAAATGACCTAATCATAAAACAGAATTTGCTTGGGGGCCAAGTTCAAAGAAAAGACAAATTCTGGAAGGTAAAGTCAATAGTCACATGCTGGGAATCTGTCCGCTATTATCATGTTTCATGAAACTGGCTAGCTTAATAGGGTAATGTGTGCAAGGAAATGGTAACAGGGGTTACCAGTGGGAAGCAATGATCTCATCTTCCAGAGAAAAAGAGAAATTACCTCCTTCAGTGTATACAAATAGACTTGTAAAACATCAGCTATAAAAAGTTTGACTGAAAGTCTCTCCTTCTACCATTCTTTTCCCAGTGGACTTGGAAACCTTCAGTGATATCAAGCACACATTCCTGCATCTTGACCTTGAACTTCCAGCCAGACTAGATCCTGTGTAGTTTCTCTATATGAATGGAATGGATATTATTAAAGGATTATAAGGATTTCTTCTTTCTGCAAATGGAATATGCAGCTTTTCTGTGTTGGTTGTTTCTGGTAGCTAAAGGTTTTAAATCACTCTACATCCCAGAAAGTTGGTGCAAATAAATATAAAATTAGACTGATAAAAGGAAAGGTACCATTGAAAATATTGAGAGCTTTATGTGGCTGCAATTCTACCTGTTCTACCTTTCTTTATTCTCTTATTATATCCATAAATAAACTGAAGCTCAGGGAAGTTAAATGACTTGGTACAGTCACACATGAAAGGACCTAAGTAGAAATTCTGGCTGAACATGACAGCTGAGCCCTGACACATGCTGCTCTGCACTCTCAGCACAGCAAGGGGAGTCCAACACATGGACTTCTTAGGAAGAGTCCCACTCTGCTTTTCTAGAACCACTACAGAGAACCCTCTTTCTCAGTTCTATCTGTGTGGTTCAGACCTAAACTGGGAGTCACACATGTCCCATGCATGGACAATAAGAAAATGATCTTTGTAACTACTGTGGTAAACAGAGCAAAAGGCATGTGACAAGCCTGACTAATGGGTCAAAGTCAGGAAATTTACAGTTGCTAGAATAATGACAGTGTTCCCTCACTATGACTCCTGGATTTTGCTAGGATACAAGCCAATGTACTTTATCTTTTCATTAAGTTATTCTGCGGTGGGCTTTTTTAAATGTCTTCCTTTTTTTCTCATTTCCTCTTCTATTCTGTCTCTTATTTCACCCTTACAACTGTTAGAACTCTAACACACTGAGTCTTCTCAACAGTGGACTGACCCACTCAACTCTGTCCACTTGTAGGTGGCTAAGGCTCCTGCTGCAACTCTGTCCTTCAGATTCTGATGATGCTCTTGTGATAGCACTTTGGATTTACCTGGTGGAAACATCAAAGTTCTTTCTGCAGCTCAGCATAAAAGTAGACAGTATGGACTTGGGAACCACGGTTCTCAATAGCTGTGTGACATAAGCAGGCTGCCAAAGGCAACCGCCTGTGCATGACATTCTCTTCCACAAAGTATAGACTGCAACAGTACCTGCTTGTGGGAATATTTTTGGACTTAGGAATCCCATATGTCATGCACTTAGGATAGTACCAAGTTTTACAAAAGGGGCATAACTGCCACATTAATGTTGGTTACTATTAATTTTGTGAAAGATGAATTAGAAGGAAAAGAGGTTGTAGAGAGCTAGCCCACTTAACTGGCTACTACAACACTCCGCATAACTAACAGTGCACAAGTGAGAAGCAGGATAGAGGAAGACTGGAGGAATATATGAGAGGTAGATGACTAGGATGCAGAGATATGTTTAGAGAAGATAGGGCATGACTTTAGAGAGAAATGCACTAAAATCACTTGTACTTTGCATGACAGCAGGACATGAAGGTTTTAATGTGAGTTTTGGAACCAGACTGGATGGGTTCAATGCCTGATGCTAATTAATTAGCTGTGAGATATCTGGAAAATGATTTAATCCCTCTGAGGTTCAGGTCTCTCGTTTTAGAATGGAAACATATATGATTCTGTCTCAAAATTTTGTCTTAAAGATAAATGTGACAGAATGTTCACTAGTTAGCAGAATATGTGGCATGTAGGCTTAGTAACTGCTAGAGATGATTAGTTGTAAGGTCTCAAACACTAGACTAATCTTAAAAAGACGTGAAAGCTTTCAAAGATTTATCTATGTTCCTATTGGAGGCCAGTAACTTAGTATCTGCAATGTGAATACAGATTTTGGAAAGCAATATGATATTTCAAGAAGTTTTACAATTTCTTTTTGTTGTTGTTGTTTTTTGGTGGTAACAGGGATTGAACTCAGGACCTTGCACTTGCCAGACAAACATTTATTTCACTGAGCCATCTCCCCAGCCCTCAAGTAGTTTTAAATTATTCTGCGAATCCTGCAATCTTTGGGCTGGGCTGCGTAGAAAATGCACTGGTTTTGCCCATAGATGTGTATAGCACCTACCTCTGATTTCTGACCACTCTGGTAGAGTTCAGGCAGTTCCATGAGGGTATCTGCAGATACATCTTTTTCTAAAACCCCATAAATAATAGGAGGAACAGATGTGAAGAGGAGGTTGAAGAAGATCAAAACCCAGTAGTCAGTCATGGATGTTCCTGAGAATCCGCAGAAGAACTGGTACCAAAAAAGGAGGTTCACATAGGCCTAGAGACACAAGGAAACACAGCTAGATCACAGAGACTGAAGTCAGAACTCTGACCATTCATTTGGTATGAATGGTCCTCCTTGCAATTTTATCACTTACATAATGGAAGACATTATGTTTTTTGGGGGGACATAAATGTTTTTCATAGATTACTTGTTCAATATGCTGACACTGCTTTATAAAGTGTTTTATAAATAATTCATTTAATCTTCATAACAAGTGAAAATTATTATTGTTTCCCTTTTACCTATGAAGAAATTGAGTGCAACAGATGTGTGCACCCTCATGATTCATGCACTAAGCCCTGACCCCCAATGTGATTATTTTAGGCAGTGAGACCACTGGGAACTAAGGAAATCATGCTGGCATAGCCCTCTGGGTGGGATTAGGGCCTCTTATATGGACAGAGAGCCTCTGCTTTCCTTTGCTACGTGAGGACATGAGCAGGAGTGTACAGCTGGGCACAGAGTCCTCATCAAGGCCAGATGCACTGGCTCCTCCGCCTTGGCTCTGCAGTCTCCACAGCAGTGAGAAATAAATGTCTGTTGTTTATAAACCACCACCTGTGCTGCTTTTTAGGTATCCTGAACAGATTGAGACAATGAAGCACAGAGAGACTAAGGAATTTACTCAAAGCTAGCAGAAAAGTCAGTGTTCTGATTGACACCTTTTAGTTCCAGATGAACAGAACATAGAGCAGGCACACTATAACTTCATTCTCTTTTGGCTGTGTGCATAATTATTGCCGAGTGGTGAAACTATATGATATCACCAGAGTGGCCAAACATCCCGGTTTGCTTAGGGCTGAGGGGTTTCTCATGCTATGGGGTCTCCTGTTAAAACTGGAACAGAATGAACAAACTTGGATATTTGGCTTCCCCAGAGGCCAAGCACATGCATCCCATATGGTTTCCTTCAGTATTTTTTCTCAGACAAACCTAGCCCAAGATCACAAAGGCTCTTTGCTATCAACCATCGCAGGCCACAGAACACAACAATGGACCTAAGCTGAAGAAGTTTTTTTTCAAAGCCCAGGGATACTTGTTAATGATTGTATGACTTCAAGCTTACTCTTCTAACCTCTCTGAATCTTCGTGTCCTCCTGTGTAAAATGAGTATTAGAACACCCCAGAACTTGTTATGAATCATATCAGAAAATATTCATGACTTTCAAAGTATCTTACAAATATTAAGCTATTGTTACTACTGGCATCATAGATATACTAGGACAGGTAAGATAAGGGATGTGATCCTTGCAAAAGACTTTCTCAGTCTCACAACTAGACAAAGACAAGCATTATGCTCAGCTTTTGAAGATGCACACATTTTGGATAAATACAGTTTGGGGGCATTTCTCAGAGGTGTGAATCCGCAGTCCTCCTCAGTTTCTCCAAAGTTGTCCAACATCCAAGAATCAGATTCACAGAACAATAAACTATTTTAATGGTTTCTGGCCTTGGCCTATTCTTCCATAGCTTATAAAATAGTTATTGCTATTTTAGGGTCAAATAGCTCAGGGAATTAAAGTGCCTGCAAGCAGGTGCGGGGGCCAGGGTTGGATCCCCAGGCCTGCCATGCCAGCCCTGCCCTGGTGCGTGCTGAGACCATAATTGAGACTGGGTGTGGTGGCACATGCCTATAATCCCAGCTCTTGGGAAGCTGTAAACAGGCGGATCACTATGAATCTGATCTAGTAGTGAGACCCTGAACACTCTGTAGACCCTTCCCTAAAAATAAATTTTTAAAAAAATTCAAAGTCATAAAGCAGATTGAAGGCCACATGAAGATCTATCAATTAAATACCTAAAGAAATATCTAAAACATAACACAAAAAGTGATATTTACCAGTAAGATTTCTTAGTTTTAGAAGAGAATTATTCTGGGTGGCTCAGCGCCTAAGAATACATTTTGCTCCTTCTCTTTGTCATTCTGTATAGCACAGTCTTCCGACCTTTGGTGTAGAGCTTTGGAGCTGTTATTATAGCTTGTCTGGTGGAGGGAGTCCCACACACATGCCTGGCGTGGGTGCTGGCTGGAATGAGGAGCCAGTGGGTGGATGGGTGGTCCCACACACATGCTGGGCATGGGTGCTGGCTGGAATGAGTAGCCAGTGGTTGGATGGCTGGTCCCACACACATGCTGGGCGTGGGGGCTGGCTGGAGTGAGGATCTGGCGGGCCCAGGTAGGCCCACTCACACACCAGGCCTGGGCACTGGCTGGAATGAGGATCTGGAGGGTCAGATGGCAGACCCACTCACAGTGCTCCGTTTTTGGAATGGAACATAACAATGAAACATAATACAAAAGTTTCTCTTCAAGCTTTCATTCCTTAAATTTTTCTAGATGACATATATGACTTCCAAGCAAATTTTCAAAAAATTGCAAACTTCAGTATAAATATGTTAGCTAAGCACCCTCTCTCTGAGAGCATATAGCTCCTTTTTAAAAATGCATTTGGTACAGGGTCTCACTATGAAGCTCAGACTCATAGTGATTCTCCATTTTCAGCTTCCCTGGCCCTGGGATTATAGGGGTGTGCCACCATGCCTGGTCTTGGTGGCCAGTTCAGCACAACATGTGGTGCTGGGGATCAAACCCCACTCCTTGTGCTTTCCTAAACAAGTGCTTAGTCCACTGAGCTATCTCACTGGCTCAGCATATAGCTACTTATCCTATTACTTGTGTTTGTTAACTCTTATATTTAATCCAGGGGCAGGAAATGACTTGCAACATAATAGAAAAAGAGATGGAAAAGTGAAAATGTTTGAAAAGAAAATCTGGGAGAGGGACTCCTTTCTAAAAATCATGAATCATAAAATCCTAGAATTTTCAATTACAAGCCACAGTTTTTCCCAGAATCATACACTGGACAAAAACTATTAAACATTCAACTTTGATTAACAATGCTAATTCAAATTAGTAACTACTGAAAATTTTCTATAAAGTTGATTATACAGCAGGGAAAGGAATACTCCTGCACATAGATCTAAATTATACCAATTTTCATTGGTAAATGACCCAATAATTTCTTTTCTTAAAACTGTATTTATTTAAATAGAATGATGTAGGTTTAAGTCTACTATTAACATGGTACATACAGACTTTAAAGAGTGATCATAAATTTAGGCCTAAGATCATGATGCAGAATAATCATCTCACCTAGGTCCACCTGATTTTAAAAACAAGAAAATGGATATGTAAATGAGATGCTCAAGATTAGCAACCACATCTTCTAATATATTTCTGCTTTTTAGGAGTTATGTAATCATAACAAAATTCTGTTACCATGGAATAACTCTCAAGCATAAACAGATTTCATAGGCTGGATAGAAAATTCTCATAGCTGTCAGTTCTAGCCATGATATTTTCCTGAGTTTTGATTTGTATCTATCTTCAATATGCCACAGGATATATCAATTTAGGAACAGCAGATTATTTTTGCTATCACCAGTAAAATGGAGATAAACCTTCTCATTTTCTACTGACAGCATTAAATATTTAATAATTCTGCTTGTCACAATCTTTTTATAGAAGGTCAAAAATTGGATTTTAAATGAACCAGACAGGACTTAATTGAATTTAAATGTGCAGAGAGTAGAAAATGCTAGCAGATGGACAAGCCTAACAACTTGCTGTCAGCAGTTTAAACATACACACACACTCAGATTATTTCTGGTAAGACAGCAGAATTGCTCCTGGCTGCTCCCAGAACCCCAGTAAACAAAGTGAGCCTAGGCTAAGACACTTTCATTTCATCCCTGACCCAACCAGTTGGGAGAGGTAAGGCATGGGGGGAATTCTCTGGAGTTACATACCACATTCTTGTAGAAAAAGTAGAGAATCATGTTGGAAAGGCGCATGTAACACCAGTGCCCATGGACAAGTAGGAGTTTGCTGAGATGCCTGAACTGAGAAATGGCAAAGTCACTGGCCATCACAGCCTGCAGAGACAGAGGGGAGAAAAGGCCAGCCTGAGCAATGGGCACAGCAGAACAGATGCAGCCTGGCATGGACAGCTGGAACAGAGCTGCCCACAAATGAGTAAAATCGATGTTACAAGAAGGTTCCCCACTCACCACAAAAAAGAGAGATAACACGTGCACGCGCACACACACATACACCAAGAGCAGCAACAAAACTCAAAGTCATTAAGTATGGTTTTAATCTGTGACCAATGCTTAAATGAGTGGACTGGCATTACTACACTGTTTTCCAATATGAAACAGAATTCTCTTTGGAAACTGCTTATGATGTAATTTTAGCAACCACACTTTTCCTAGAAAGCAGGGAGAAACTCTTGTCCTGTGTGTTTCATGATATTTTTATTTGCTCAATAAAGAGAACATTAAGAAGTACTGGGGTCATGGCTTCATATGACTTTGTAAAATGTGTAGGCAAAGAAGTTCCTGAATTGCTCTTTACTCATCAACACCATAATATACAATTCTTGGGAAATCTTAAATCTCATATTCCACCTTTCCTGTCAGCAATTTCCTCACATATAAAATAGCCTTCCCAATTACAATTTGTAATCTACTTGGGTGCACAACATTGACTCACCTGCATGCCTTCTTGGCCCGAGACCCCTACCCCAATGTCTGCCACTTGGATCATGCTAACATCATTGGCACCGTCACCTACACAAGGCAAAAGAAAAGGTGAACAAACCTATGAGTAAAAGTGTGATTCTGTAAATTTATAGGGCTGCTCAAGTGGACATATAATCCCCTCAAAGTTCATCCTAGTTCTCTAACTTCCTAGAAGCTAAGCAGAAATGAAGTGTGGCATGCACTGCTATCAGGAAGAATTTCAAAGTCAACCCTGCCTTCAATTCCTGCACACCACGGCAGAATGATTTCAGCCAGAATGGTTTTTTCCTTTCTTACACCACCCTTGCTGACTTTGGTTCTCCACATTCAATCTATTACTTAGAGCTACGCCACAGTTTATATAACTCTAACCTTGGATTAGTCCTCTCATCACCTCAACTCATTCCTGCTGGATTTCAATTTTTCTTGCCTTCAGCTGTATGCCATTTCCTCTGGAAAATCCTTCTCATAGTCCCTTTATATCACATACTCTTTTCCTAACATTATAGCACCATCTTGTGTAATTCTATCATATCTCTTACATGGTACTATGGTTGCACATAGATTGTTTTGGTCTCCTCCAACATTGTATATGTCCTAAAAAGAAGTATTATACTTCTGCTGGTAACAATTGTAAACTTTTTGCAAGGCCCCACTAGTCACTCATGTATTTTCTGGTGATAGCATCCTGATATTTTTTGGGAATTCTGGGTCCACATGGTTTGTTAGAGTGAATCCAAACACCCATAATTATGGATATGAAAATGACCATCACCTATTCCCTGGCTGCAGTGATTGCTTTAAAAATGACCATGACTCAATTAATACTAAGTCCAGACGTTCTGTCTTCAATAACATCTGGATCTGGCAGCTTGAATAAATTTTTATGTTTATTCAGCTTGATAACTGAACAAAATCCACTCAGTTTCATCTAAACACCACTATCTCAGAATTTTTAAACAAAGTACTTCTTCATTTAAACCCATTCTTTCATAGTCTTAGAGTATCAAGGCTCTGGTACTCACCAGATTCATGGTTCACAGGTTTATCTCTGCAACTAATTCCTCACTGCTAGCCAGACTTTTATTCTCCATACCTACTTGACATCACTACTTACACATATAATGAATTTTTTTAAATCAGGTGAGTACTTTTCAACTGGATTCTATCTTAGTAGAAACATTTTTTCCTTTTATTATTATTATTGTTATTTTATATTAATTTCATTGCGAAAGAAATAGCACTGAGACAGTTTCAAAACAGGTTAGTAACACAGTTACAATAATTAATACATTGCAAATCGACTCAATTCACCAATGAAAAGAAATAGACTGGCACAGTGGATTAGGAAACAAAATCGAACAACATGCTATATACAAGAAAGACACTTAACTCATAAAGAAATTCATAGGCTGAAAGTCAAAGGATAGAAGACAATACTACACACTACAGTACCACAGAAAAAGAGAAGGGGTAGTAATCCTGTTCTCAGACAGTCCCAACTTCAAATGAAGAGTGATCAAATTAAATACAGAATGCCACTGTATACTGGTTAGGGGAAAAATTCAAGAGGAAAAGATAACACTCATAAATATTTACACACAAAACACAGGAGCACCTAACTATATAAGACAAATCTTAATGGACATGAAAAATCTAATATCCAGTACCACAATCTTAACAGGAGGCCTTAACACCCACTTATCCCTAAAAGATAGGTCAAGCAGACAAAAATTAGTAAAGAAGTAGCAAAACTGAACCAGAGTGTGGAAAAAATGTCCTTGGTGAACATATACAGTGTTCCGCCAAACCATGGCTGAATTAACATTTTTTTTTTTTTGGCTGCACATGGATCATTTTCTAAAATAGACCAAATACTAGTACATAGGCCATGCTTAAGTGCATGCGAAAAAACAGAAATTCTCCCATGAATATATATTATCTGACCACAGTGCAATGAAAATGGAAATAAACAACAAAAAACAGAAAACCCCCCTAAATACATGGAAATTAAACAACACTCTACTCAGCAACCGATGGGTCACAGAAGAAATTAAACAAGAAATTGAACAATCAATATACTAAAATGAAAATTCAAGCACAGCTTATTGGAATTTATGGTATGGGATGAAAGCAGTTCTCAGAGGGAAATTTATAGCTGTAAACACACACATTAGGAAAACAGAATGGGAACAAATCAACACCTTAATGTTGCAGCTCCAACATATAGAAAACGAAGCACAAACCAAACCCAAAGCCCAAAGATGGGAATAAATCATAAAGATTAGAGCAGACATTAATTCAACTGAGACGAAGAAAACATTTCAAAGAATTAATGAATAAAAAGCTGGTTCTTTGAAAGATTAAATAAAATTGATAAGCCCCTAGCTATTCTCATCAAAAACAGGAAAGAAAAAATTCAATAAGGAATGAAAAGGGTGTAACTACCACAGACCCAGAGGAAATTCAGAAAATTGTCAATAGCTACTTTGAGAACTTTTACTCTCACACAATAGAAGACACAGAAGAAAATGGACAGATTCCTAGAAAGGTACAAATTACCAAAGATGAATCAAGAAGATACAACAACTCTCAGTAACCCAATTCTGAGTAACAGTAAATGAAATACGAATGTAATAAAACACCTACCAACAAAGAAAAGTCCAGGTGCTCATGGATTCACAACTGAATTCTACTACAAGAAATTTACAAAATATATAATCCCTATGCTCCTCAAACTCTTCAGTGAATTAGAAAAGGAAGCAATCCTCCCAAAATTGTTACTGGCAAGTATTATGCTGATACAAAAATCAGGGAAAGATGCAACTAAAAAAGAGAACTACAGGTCAATCTCCCTCATGAACATAGATGCAAAAATCCTCAATAAAATCCTAGCAAATAGAATAGAGCAAATTATGAAGAAGATCATACACCATGACCAGGTAGGATTCATCCCAGGGATGCAAGGATGGTTCAATATTAAAAAATCTATACATGTAATACACTATATCAAGAGAGCCAAATCTAAATACCACATGAACATCTCAATTGATGTGGAAAAGGCTTTTAACAAAGCCCAACATTCATTCATCTTCAAAGTTCTACAGAAAATTGGAATAGATGGTGTCCTCTTCGATCTGACAAAAGCCATCTATGACAACCCAAAGGCTAACCCAGTTCTAAATGGGGAAAAACTGAAACGTTTTACTCTCAGATCTGGTACAAGACAAGGATGTCCTCTATAACCATTCCTATTCAATATAGTTCTGGAATCATTAGCTAGAGTCATTAGACAAGAGAGAGAAATAAAAGGAGTAAGAATAGGTAAAGAAGTTAAATTATCATTCTTTGCAGATGACAAGATACTTTACTTGGAAGACCCACAAAACTCTATCAAAAAGCTACTAGAATTGATACACAAGTTCAGTAGCATAGCAGGATACAAAGTCAATACCCAAAAGTGAGTAACATTCCTCTACACAGATAACAAACACACTAAGAAGTTAATTAGAAAAACAATACCTTTTACAATAGCACTGCAGAAAATGAAATACCTTGGAATTAAATTAACTAAAGAAGTCAAACATCTTTTCAAGAAAAATTACAGTACTCTGAAAAAAGAGATCATAGAGGACTTCATAAAATGGAACACTATTCCTTGCTCCTCAACAACCAACATTGTGAAGATGGCCATACCCCCAAAATTGTAGTACAGATTTAATGCAATCACCATAAAACTACCACCAACATACCTCACAACCCTAGAGAAATCATTCCTGAAATTTATTTGGAACCAGAAAAGACCTAGAATAGCAAAGGCAATCCTGGACAACAAAGACAAGGCAGGAGACATTACAATTCCTGATTTGAAATTATATTACAAAGCTACAATAATAAAATCAACATGGTATTGGCAACAAAATAGACCTAGGGATCAGTGAAATAGATTAGAAGATGCAGAAGCCTCTATGAACACTCAGCCACCTGATCTTCAACAAAGGAGCCAAACATGCTTACTGGAAGAAAGACAGCCTCTTTAACAAATGGTTCTGGAAAAACTGGCTCACTACATGCCAAAATCTGAAATTTGACTAAGTCTATCACCATGTACTAAGCTAAAGTCAAAATGAATTAAAGATCTAAATATTAAAACACAAACACTAAATGTCCTAGAGGAGAAAGTAGGAGGAAATCTTGAAGACATAGGGGTAGGCAAAGAGTTCATGAACAAAAATCAAATTTCACGGGTAATACTGGAAAGAATTAACAACTAAGACCTCCGCTTATTGAGAAGTTTTTGCACACCAAAAGAAATTACCAACAAAGTGAAAACACAACCTACAAATCTGGAAAAAATCTTAACTAATAAGCACTCAGACAAAGGCATGCTCTCTAGAATTTATAAAGAACTAAAAAATATTAGGGCCCCAAAATTTAAAGATCTAATCCACAAATGGGCATCTGAGATGAACACACACTTCTCAGAGGACTAAATTAAAGAAGTGAATAAATATATGAAAAAATGCTCCACATCATTAGTCATCTGTGAAATGCAAATTAAAATAACACTGAGATACCATCTCACTTCAGAAAGAATGGCTGTCAGAAAGATATCAACCAACAATAAATGTTGGAGAGGCTGTGGGGAAAAAAGAACCCTTCTCTACTGGTGCTGGGAATATAGACTGGTGCAACATTTATGGAAATCAGTGTGGAGACTCCTTAAAAAACTAGGACTGGAAATTCCATTCAAACCTGCTATCCCCCTACTGAGAATTTTCCCAGAGGAACTTAAAACGTTATATCATAGTAATATATGTGTATCTATGTTTATAGCAGTACAATTTGTGATAGCCAAACCTTGGAAACAACCAAGATGCCCATCACCTGAGGAATGGATGTACAAGATGTGTTATTTTTATACAATGAAGTATTACTCAGCTATGAAGAATGATAAACTCGAAGCCTTTATATTGAAGTGGATGCCACTTGAACATATACTCATAAGTGAAATAAACCAGACACATGTGTAAATATCATATAGTCTCCCTTGTATAAGAACTCAAAAGAAGAAATATAAATAGAAAGGTACAATACAAGTAAAAGGAAAGCAGTA